AAATTTCAAAGTCCTTCATTTGAACTCAACAACTTAATTTTTAAAAATCACATGATTCCTATCACATGGGCCCGTTCACTTATTACGTTACGCAAAAAACGACTTTTTTCATCCCCCCCTCCCCTTGTTACAATATGTTACAACTCAGGTACCCCCCCCCCCCCCCCTGAACGTTCATAATTTATATTATCATTAAAAAGGTGGAAATTTTAAAAAAATGTTTTTGGTGCGAATTTGTAAAAAAAATTTTCGTGAACTTTTTTTTTAAAAGACAGATGACACTTAGAACGTTACATACTGCTCGACACCCCCCCCCCCCCCCCTCCCAATGTTACATTTTGTTACAATTTTTCAAACCCCCCCTCCCCTCTAAAATGCGAACGTAATAAGTGAACGTAATAAGGAGCCCCTAAGTCGCTCCTTGTCACTGTAATAAGACTAAGTAATGACTTATTTCCAACTTAGAAGATTTGACCTAATTTCAAGCATTCTGATAAGTCACTTATGACATGTTAATCTCTGATATCATAGTCAATTTACTAATCTAATCAAAGATTATTATTGATTAATTTAGAAACTTTTGGAACTGATGTCAAATTTTACAAACTTTAGGGAACTTATTTCATGACAATAAAATAAAAAGAATTGACGTAGTTTTAAATAAGGAATCATCTTTAATTACCATAATAAGTAGCTTTTCCAAACTCAAATTTTCCTCTCAATTAATATTACCAACTGACCCGGCAAAAATACGCTATACTCATCCACGTGCGGGTACTTCCAACATTTTTTTCATATTATTTCATTTCTCGTGAATGCTAAAGGAGAAAATGTTCGCTATATTTTCCTAACGAAGAAAATAAAACGAAATGTCCTTGGCCCACTGACATACTTACAAAACGTTACAAGAAATAAATAGAAAAAAAAATCACTTGCACTCGATTTTGGTACTTGGAAATACATTTAGTTTTTTGGACGTAAAATTAGAATTAATTTTTCAGCACATTAATGGATTATTTAAGATTCATTAAACATTACATATATAGGACATATTAATCTACATAAAAAGGTATTAAATGAACATTAACGAAAATTTTAATGAAATTTGATAAGCACAGAATCAACAAAGGAACGTGATAATGAATTATATTTTAATATTTTTAAAACAAATCGTTTTTAAAAAAGTTATTAACTTGTGAATCAGAGCCACGAGCTCCCTTTGAAAAATGAAAACACCCTCGAGTCATGTGTGACCTAATTTCCATAATTCTCTATGTTTCAGTAGCGAACTTTATTTCTGTTTCCTTTATTCGAAGTCACCGAAATTCGTGAGACTCGAAATTACTTGTTGATGATAAAAAAAAATTAAGGAATTTATAGTCGGCATCAATTTGTGAGAAAACAAATGTACTGCGAATTGAAAAAAATAAAGGAAATTAGGTCAAATCTATGTGCTGACGATATGTTCCTTTTACTCTACATTTTCATAGCGATAAAAGGAATGTTTACTTGTTTACGAAAATAAATTTGGTGCAAACTCCAAATTTCTTAATTATCGCAAAATATAAAAATTGGAATTTTGGTACAAATGAGATTAATATAGATAGTTCAGGATTTCGTAATAACTTTGCGTCTATTTACTACTATGTGAGAATATTCTAGCATGTAAACAATTTTTTGCTGCATAACTAGCACGAATCGTGCAATTTGCCTTGATGTCTTTAGTTAACAAATTACTCACTGAGAATTCTAGTGATTTCTGAGAAAATCAGTATCAATAATATTATGTAAGCTAGGAGAGAAGCTTGACATAAATTCAAATGAAAACATACATGAGTAATCACATGTTGATTTATGGAATTAAGGCAAGCAAGAGTAGCTTTCTTGAATAAATTAATAACTGAGAATGGTTATGTATTTTCTGGAAATTGATGGTTGCATATTAATTAATTAAGCCAAAAAAGTTGTCAAGTCATGCAAAAGCCAAACTTCTTCCTTTTAACCTATGTGAAGCAACAAGTCATGAAATTAGGATGGGGAGGGAACCTCCTATTTTAAAGCTGTGTTTAGGGAGTTTTTGGGAGTTTATCATGTCATGTTTTACATCATTGAAAGTTTACTTCAGAATAGGCTGGATTGCGAAGTGTTTTGGACTTTAAAATCTCATAAAACCATCAATATCATTAGGGGCTGTTCACTTATTACGTAACGCGAAAAAATGACTTCTTAGACCCCCCCCCCCCCTCGTAACAAAATTTGTATGAAAAAAAAATTTCCTTGTTTGAACCTTAACAAAATCTTGGACCCCCCCCCCTCCCCCTAAAAGCGTTACGTAATAAGTGAATGGCCCCTTAATTAATATCTAAAGGACAGCCAAATGCTAATAAAATGCAAATGTAGTCACCACTACTTCCAAAATTGAAAGAAATTTCTTAATTTTATAAATATTTGTCTGTTTAACAAGCCCAATTCAAATTAGTTCAATCTTTGAATAAATTTCACGAAAAAGCCTTGCTCGTAGACTTTTTTTTGCTATTAAACCACAAACAATAAATTTAATATTCGAATAAATGCCAAATTTGATTTTCTTTGTGAGAAGCTAATTGATATGACTCCTTATACAGCTTTATTTAAAAAATTATTACGAGACAATATGATTGATGTGAAGGATTGGCACCTGCCTTACATTTCTCCAGGCTCGGAAACCAGGCAGTATTTGGCAGTATTTCATATAAAGAGGCGGTATTTGGGGGTATTTGAAGGTATTGGTATGGAATTAGGTGGTATACCGCCTAGTTTCCAAGCCTGGACATTTCTACTAGTCTTAGCTTTTATTATAGATGAGTTTTGATCCTATTTTTGAAATGGCATGACTGAATAGTTCTGAACTTTTAGTATTGAAATTTTGAAAACTGAAACTTAATTTGAAATGCTTCTATAAAAGTTTAATATCCAACAACAATCTTAAAATGCAAAATTAAATCTTAGAAGTGGAAATTTTGTTTATAAAAACCCATTCTTGAACTTTTTAAAATTATCCTCAATTGAGCTACAAACTTTGACACTTAAAACTTTGCAATTCATTCAATTTCAAGAATGAATACAGAGAAAATCTACTTAATAGCTCCAAACTTTATGTGCTATAAAGAATAGAAATAAAATTGCATCATCATCACTGTTTGTTGTGTTCATATTACCAGTTTGGCCATAACTTATATGCAAAAATCTTTAAAAGCTCTCAAGTCATGGAAAATTCCAAAACTAATTTAGGAGATGAATTTGAGTTGTGTGCTTGGTATTTGATAAGAAATATCAGGCATATCGTGTTCATGGCATTTTCTAAGCCAACTCATCGTGTCAGCAAACAAGCGTATAAGATTTCTTTGCAAAAAATTTAAGTGTGGATTGCAAAATACTAAATTTGTGAATCACCCAGCATTGAAGTTTGGCAGTAAAAACTGCAAATTAATTTTTTGTGAGAAAAATTAGAGGTTGAATGCAACTTGAAGTGTTGCAGTCCTGACTTTCTAGTTCTTGTCCTAAAAAAGAGCGAAAATAATTAGTTTTACATGCTTTTGCCATCAACAAATAAACAAAAAGCTAAATAAGTAATTTTCTTCAAATTTATTTAAGCGCTAATCGTGATATTTGAATAATGCAAGAAAAATTAAACTTTTCGCTTCGTCAATTTTTGTGCTTGCTATTAACATTAAAATTAACTATAGTTAATAGCTTTTTTATGAATATGCATCCAAAACTTTTTCTAGTCTCCTTCAGACAGCTTCAATCTGTGTCATGGCAACATGATTTGTATGTCAATGTTGTCTACTCAGATAGATTCATCTTAAATACATTCTCAGCGCTGACTCTCACTTTGATATGAATTATATGACTTGTTTCGTGAGAAATACTTGGAGATTACAATAGAAAAACTTATCCTTTACAACAACATCAACATTTTTTAATTTAATTTCGAGAAGATGAATAGCTGAATACGTTGATACTTGTAATATTAACACACCAAGAATTTCCAACCTTGACACACTTTACCAACATTTTTCAAATGTATTGAGAGTTAGGTGCTGTATTACTCAATACTTACGCTTTTCATAGAAATTTTTATTTTCATTTTCATATATACATGGACATACGAACACTCACATACACAAATCTCTCGTGGGTTTTTGTATATTTCTCACTTTTATTCATTATAAATTCTGCGTTTTGATCAGTATTTTGTGTAATAATAACTATTTAATTAGATTTAATTATGTTTCTCATTGTAACAGATATTAAATAGACAATATTACATATATATGTAAGTCTCAATCAAGTTTTGTTTATTTTGAAGACGTGCGATTGCGCATTGATGTACAATATTTAGAATTAGAACAAATAAATAAACATGATTGCAATTTTTCATTCTCTCATTCTTTGTAGCTTTTTCTATGTCGTTTTGTTAGATTACAACTTTTTAATTACAAAGTTGGATCTAATTATATTGAGGGAGTTGACGGACCATAAATGACGTAATGTCGATTATTATTTAATGATTTAATTTTGCCACCCAAAAACAACAGCAAGATTTACTTCCGAAATATGTTCTTACATCATTTTCGGAGCAAAGAAGAATCAGCAACAAATCGTCGTAGACAGGGCATGTTGATGTTCTGTTTTCGAGGGAAATTTGAGGTTAGATTTGTTTAAGGGTTGTTTTTCCTTTTCGTAAATTAATTGAAATTTATTTTTAGGAAACTCTTGACTGAAAGAGTAAGGCTTTTTGAAATCATCAACTGATTTAATATTTAAAGTTCCCACAAAGTAACCTCAAACAAGTTCAAATTTCGAACTCGAAAAATTAAAAAGTTTCGAATATCGAAATTCAACTTCGAAGAAAAATAAACGAAAAAAGTTCGAAATTCGAAGTTAGAAAACAGATTTGCATCACACATTCCCTGACATTAGAATAGATCAAGCAGAATATTAAACGTCTGTCTTACCTTCTGCTGATGCGGTTTTATCATTTGCATCAGCTTGAATTTCATTAATTTCCAATTCCATTTGTTCAGCATGCGTCAAATCACTGAGATTTAACTCATCTTTTGTGGAATTATCACATGCATTTGTACCAACAATCAAGACATTCGAAACATTTGGATTCGTAGCGATACTGTTTAAAATTAATGATGAAACTTCTTCCTCGACTTCATCCTCCGGGCAATTACTACTTTTAATTTCATTAATATTATTGAGAATAATTTTCGTTTGGGGTTGAATTATTTGGTTTGAGAATGTTGTTGTAGCTGCAGATGAGCAACTGTCTGTTGCATCATAGCTTTCAATGACTGTAGCCGTAGCCGAGCTATTAGCCCGCTGATAATGATGGACTATCGATATAGTCGTCGTACTATTTGCATTATCATTACTTTGGTGTGAATTATTTGTATGAGCAATAATATCATTGCTGCCTGCTGCTATTTTTGATGATGCCGCGGTAGTTGTGATAGCTTCTTCATGCATCTTATAATTTAAGCAAGAGATTCACATACACCGAAATAACACTTCGATTTTTTTCTTCTTTTTCTCTTTCTCGAATATTATTTTATATATTAGCATGAGAATACAAAAAAAAAACACACAATATATATATCACGCGACGGTTTATATTTTTTTAGCGCTATACACTTACATCTAGCAATTTAGAACTATACAGCGTAATATATTGCGCGACAAGATGGCATGGATGCGTGTGTATGTTCGTTAGTATATTAAGAAAAAAATAAATATTCTCAATGGATAATTTTTTTTCAGTTATTCATATTTTTTTTTTTATATAATGGCAAAAATTCTTCATTAAAATGAGTTCTTCTCTTTTGGCATTTATTACATTCACACACACCACTGTATTAAGCGCCAAGTTTCCTGTCGAGATTTTTGCTTTATTTTTTAAATTTTATTTTATTTCTCAGACAATTTTTTTTAAATTTAATTTTAATTTTTTTTTCTTCTTCTCGTATAATAGGCCTGTGTCTGTGCCTTATTTACGTTGTTTATTTTACTGCGTTGATGTCATCAAAAGAAGAAAAAGTCCTTTCTGACATAAATTCATTTTCATCTTACTGCTTATGTACATAATCATTTTTTTATTTTATAATTGTGTATATAGGTTTATAGAACACACATTAGTATGTTATCACTAAATTCAGTATGATAATCACAATTACTGTCAAAAATACTTCACGTTTTTCCTTCTCTTTTCTTGTCGTCGTCGACGTCGTTTGTAGCAAAAAACAGTGCACATAAAATTTATTACATTGTAAATTTTTTAACTCTTTTTTTTTCAATCAATCAAACACGAAATAACATCACTTTATAATTTTAAATTTGGTTTCTTGTATTTTAAGCGTAGAATTTTATTTATTAATCACACTTATATATCTCTTCAAATTCTATTATTATTTCTATTTTTAAAAGCTACCGCTTTGCATTTTTTATTTTTTTCTTTTCCTTATATTTTTTTTTTATTATTTTCAATAAACTTGTTCGAAACACTGCCTTGTTTAATATTATCTTTATAATTTTATAAAAATTTATCTAGTTATTGAGAATAATTTTAAGGACTTTAGCAACACAACAAATTCAATCCAGAGGATAACAAAATTTGAAAAAATTCGGGAATAAAAGAAGACTGTTTCAACGCTATTAAAAGTATGGAATGACATTGAAAATATACTCATACTTTGATAGCATCAACGCAAAAAAACAATTCTCGAGGCTTTTAGTAGTGTTTGAATTTACTAGTAATGTAAAAGAAAGAATGAGATAGGTAATGGGAATTTAAGGAAAATAGGTCAAATTTTTGGAATCATGGAAACGCTGTGGAAATGTTCATTTTATTCCTGGGTGAAGGAAATTTTCCACTCTTGTCAAAAAATGCATCTTTATTTAGGATACAATTCCTGACGTCACATTTTTTTCTTTTTTTTATTCATAATGAATTTTTTTATTGGGTTAGTGTGAACTTACATATTATTTTTCTTTTTCTAATACATAAGCGTTCCATTTATTAAACGGAATCAATTTAGTTGCAACATTTTTGAGCTTTATTAAATCTTTCAACATTTTTTGTGCCGCACATGATAAAGTAAATTGTTTGTATCTTCATGCCTTTTCGTTTGACTAGGTTTTGAGTTAAAATGTTAGAAATTTCTCACGTAATTACAATGTCGGATTGACTTAAATGACATTTTTCTAATTTAATTAGAAAATCACGAATGATTCTTTAGTATGACTTAAAAGTTATGATTTATGAATAATTACTCACAGTTCCTACACTTATCTACTTCAAATTTCCATTTCCTTATAGGTTTTTAACAATATTTCTAGTGTGCTTGCACAACTTGCGCCAAAAATTTATAACACGGAAAATTGAGAACCTTACAAATATTTTGAACCATTCAAATGTTTTCTCAGCATGACTACACGTGCTGTTATTAAAAACAATTTTAAATTTTATATTTAACTCCACATCATGAATGAATTAAAAATACGTCTGGAAATCTAAACGAAAAGTTAATTTGTTGCATCGCAATTTGTTTCTGATATGTAAACCTGAGACTATATTTCTATTCAATAATGGTATGTTTATATCTATTTTTTAACCCACCAAAACTAGTTTTCATCAGTTTCATGAATTTTGGTGAGAAAATCATTTTTATTTCCTGAAGATCACAAGAAAATCGAGTTTTAGAATTTCAATAGGAAGTTAATGATTTTCTGTAGAATATTTTGAGGAATAAACAAAAGTCGCTGCTCACGTGGGTGTGCATAGTGTGAATATTAATGTGCGTCACAGCAGGCGATGTGTTTCATTTGAGAAACGAGAAAATTTATGCATTTTTTGTAATGTTTTGAATTTTAATAATTTTTAAATGAGAAAATTTGTGTACTCACTGAGATGGGAGCTTCCTGCTGAGGTTTGTAAGAATCTTTCACTCACTTTAAATTTGATGTCATAAATGTTGGACATTTTTAAAAATTAGAATTATTTCAATTTAAACGAATTTATGAGAATTTAAATTTCAAAGGCTTCTTCAACTTTTCAAATTTTAAAACTACGTTGAAAAATTTCTTATGTGAAATAGTTCACAAAATTAAAGCTTTTCGCTGAGAAAATTTATTGTTATTAATGCTAATCTAAGACTTTGCCTTCACGAAGAAATTATTTCTCAAGATGAAATGTTAGCGAAAAATTAAATAAACACATAAATTGTCAGCTGAACGAGAAAAGTGCGCCAGAGAATTTTTATTGCAAAAATTAAGAATTTCTCGTGGTCACAATAATGCTTATTTGCCGTTCTTGAAATTTTAATTTCATAATTTCTAAAATAGCTGGCAAAAGATTTCACAAAAAATGATGAGGGGCCGTTCACTTATTACGTTACGCAAAAAAACGACTTTTTTCACCCCCCCCCCCCCCCCCCCCTGAACGTTCAAAATTCATTTTATTTTGATAATTTTTTATTTTAAAAAGACGGTTAAAGTTCTTTTGTATTTTTTTTCTTAAACATCAAAATACTGTACAGCTAAATAGGTCATGTTTTGATTGATACTATTAGTATTCTCATGAATTATTGGATTGAGATATAAAGCAAAAATTTGTTTTTTTTTGAAGAAAATTCAAAAATGTCATGAAAAATATTATGCCCGATCGAATTTTGGAAAATTCAATCAACTTTGAATGTAAATATCACAATGATGGGATCATATTAATCATCATATGAATGACAGATTTAGAGAGATTTACTTTTAAACTTATGATTGATTTAATTTTGAAAATTTCCACAAATTATGATTGTATTTTAAAGTCTTGTAAACCAGTTTTCTATTGATTTGTTACTTTATATAACAAAAGCTATGTAGTGCTTAGCTATCAAAAGTGATCTGGACATTCATAAATCATTAAAAAGGTGGAAAATTTAAAAAAATGTTTTTGGTGTGAATTTGTAAACAAATTTTTTTCGTGAACTTTTTTTTAAAAGACACACGACAGTTTGAACGTTACATACTTCTTGACACCCCCCCCCCCCCCCACCTATGTTACATTTGGTTAGAATTTTTCAAACCACCCCTGCCCCCTAAAATTCGAACGTAATAAGTGAACGGCCCCCTCCCCCCTAAAATGCGAACGTAATAATTGAACAGCCCCTGAGCAGTTCAACATTTCAGCTTCATCAACAAAATATTTTTGTTTATTCGTCATTGCTTTCTGTACTTTTCCAGCTTATTCATTTCAATCCCACATATTCTGAGACTGAACAAGGAATTTTACAATGTAAATCTTGAACATTCTTTACATAAAATTTAAAAATGAAAGCATTTACAATTGTCACATAAACGCTGTCTGACTTCAATATTTACATTGCTCTCGTGAAGTGGATGTTTGTTTTCTCTGAGAAAGGCGATAGATGATTCTCTATTGGAAGAAAATTAAACATTTATCACATCATTATCCATAATTAACAAATAATAGCTATAATGGTGTGAATAGTGCTTTTAGCAAGTTTAAACAGCGATCAAAGAAAATTTCAATTTTATGGATTTACATTTGAGTCTGTTTATCACTTATTCAATGTAATTCAATTCAAATAAGCTACGATTTCTTTTGCTTGCTAATTAGATGGCAAACTTTGTCTGAACCGAACGCTCTGAAAAATTTAAATACTTGAAATAATGATTCGCTACATTAAATCCTAATAAATTGCTTTTGAATTGGGTGAGACTTGAGCTTGTTGTTTGTGGTTTAAGATGTCTGTAGTTAAGACAATGCTTGAAACGAGATACACTCAATTATCAAAATTTAGGGATAGAATTATGTTTGGATGTTGAATAAATAATCATAAGAAAAGTTTATTTTCTCAAACTTTTAAATTTAAGGATGATTATTTATTTTTCTTGGTTCTTTGGATGATTGATCAGTTTGCTGAGTGGTTAGCATTTAACAAATGAATTAGTGACTCGGCTGATTGTGACAAATTAATTGTTGAAAATTAGTCATGATTGATCAATTCTGTGAATGTGTAGGTTGGTGTAGGTCACATTCAGTTTACAGAAGGATACTAATTGGGTAAGATTTATCATAAGGCTGTTGTGGGTCTTAAATGATCCCGGTTATTCAAATCTTAAACCACATTCAGTCAACAGTCCATTCCTGGATCAATTTCGATAAATACTTAAATAATACATAAAATATTTATTTTTTTTTTTTTCATTTTAATTGCACTTAATAGCATTTATTGACGTCCGGTAATAATTCACATTTTACACTTTAGTATTTGTATACATATGAATTAATATTATGTAGGATCAAACTTCTAATCTTCAAATCTAGGTTTCAAATAAACTAAGGCTCTCGTTTCGATCTTCTGTAGGCGTGAAGTGATACTTTTCAGGTCCGTTCTAACAATATTCCCTTCGTGGGTAATCTTGTAGCTCTCGTTCCTATTTCTCCCGCTACAATTTAAGTTCCTGGCCCGTTCCTTAATCCAACGTTGCTCAAATGCCCAATTATGGCTTGATCTCGTACATTAAGCAGTCGAAGTATCTAAACTTCCGAAAAAGAACAAATTTGGAAATGGCTGGATTCGAACCGACGACCTTCGAGTTACAATCCCAAATTTGAGCCAAGCGCCTTACCTATTCGACCAGCAAGGCACTTAACTGATTTCTTATAAAGAATTGACTGGCACCAATATCTATTGCTAATAACCGGAACATGAAAGCACAACCTCATTTATTTATTCGTCAATTATTCACTCAGCCCAGACAACCCCGAAAATTAGCCAATTATCTTCATATGCATTTAACCTCACATTCTTATTTGAATTGATCCAGTAATAAAGCAGTTAATTACGATACCACGCAATATGTTTATTGTGACATATTCGTGGACGCCTATAAAATTATAAAATAATTTTCTCAACATCATAAAACTTGTTGATATCTGAATATGTCAATTGAATATAAAAATGTATAAGAGAAGAACAGAAGCTGAAAAATTCTTTATACGCAGCATACATGCAAACGACTCTCTGTATATTTATTTATGTAGGATATATATCTGCTCACAATAAAGATCGAAGAATTTTTTTTTCCTCAAAAATAATTAATTGTGTGAAAAATTAAGGAAAAAAAAAATGTTGCGTATGTATTATAAGATTTTGAAGAGAAGAGAAGCGTCTACATGAAAATTTTTCACATCGAAATTTTCTTTTTTCTTAGTCTTATATTTGCAGTGTAAGTGAATAGGTAGTAGCATATATTTAAAGGCTACGAGAAGAAAAAAAAAATTTGAAAATAGAAAAAAATTCGAGTGCTGAAAAAGATGGAAAATATTTTTTTTTCTTTATCAATTTTTTCTTATTTTCATCACAATCTAGACAATTTTCTTTTATAATGCAATAAAGTTGAAGGAGAAATTTTTTCATATAGAATTTTTTGCATTGCATAACTTTAACTAAAAATATTTGATTACCTTAGTACTGAACATGTCTATAAATAGATTCGCTTATTCGACAAAATACCAACTTTTTTTTCCTCATTCATGTTCATGAATGAATGTGTCTCAAGTGAAGGTTTATGATCACCTTATTGTCTCATAAATGTGAAAAATTGCAATTGCTTTACTTCTTATTTTTACTTCTTGCAAAATGAATTTAATGTAGTGAAATTAAAACTTAATTTGTGTGCAATTTTGAACACCTTTTTATTTTCCGAGAATAAAATTCTTGAGCATAGCAATTTTGAAGAGAAAATGTGGCAAATCATTTGCTTTGACTTGGCTGCTTACCTACCTAATTATGTGTGAAATAAAAATGTGTCATATCAGTGGATAATTTCATTTAAGAATCTTATTAGGAGTTTATTGCTGAAAAGTGCAAAATTTCTGAATGGGGCATTCTTCAATCCTTCACTTTGCTTTGACTATGATCTTATGACAGTCATAAGCGAATGACACTTAATCTAAGCATTTCAAATTCTAAGTTTTTCGTTATATCAAAAAGCTGATCAGAATTCAGGTTTATAAGTCAAATTAACGAATGTTTATTGTCAAGGTATGGACACTTAAATGCCTAATAAACCTGCTTAATCTTTTGGAGTAAAATTAACTAAGGACAGAGTTTAGCAACACAAGACTAGCTTTTTTCATGGGAAATCTGTAACAAGGGATGAAAAGAATCTTTATTATTTTTTTTTTGCTATAAGTGAACGACCCTAAAGTATATAAGCGACTGTTTTAAGGAGATTCGAATTCAATACAACAAGAACTTGAACAATTTTCAAAATTCTGCATCATTATATCTTCAAATAATCACAAAACAAAATGTAAACGATCATTCTAGAGCTTTAAAGATCAAAGTTGTTGAGTGAATTCTAAGAATACATTAGAATATATAAGGAAAATTGAGACTAAGGTGTATGGGTAGAGTGCGAAGAAATGTAAATAAATCTCAAAACTATCAAGTTTACAAAATAAATCCCAGGATGTGTGAATGTACTCAATTTTCAATGAATAGTTTAATCGGAAAATGCGCTGTAGCTTTCGAAATCACACACACCGTCGACCTTTTCACTAGTTTTTATTTTTTTTTCTTGTAGAAATTTATCTACGTACACTTTTCTTGTAAAGAAATGTTGTGATGAATATCTAAGATCATGCGAGTTTATTTTTAGACATAAAATTTTTTTGTTATATTTAAATTTGTGGTGGTGTCTTTTTGGCAGTATTGTTTAAATCAATTTCAAATTATTCTTCTGAGTAGTGTGTGACGGAAAGAAAATCACATTTCTTAATTAATTAAAATAACTTTCTTACTCAAATTAATTTACTTAAAGTTCCCGTTAATTAAGATCATTCAAAAATGAGCAGCCGAAGACCGAGAAGATCACGAATTTATGATTTGAATTATAATATTGGTGAAAATTATTATAAGTCAGCACTCGATCGTCTCGATGAGAAATCAGGACGTGCACCAAGCTCATTAATCAGATCATCTGAACCACCAGTTTTAAAACCATCCGCTCGTCTCGCACAATTGGATGAAGATGGTACAGTAGATGATTTGGAAATTGCTAGAACCCGTGCCAGTCATGCCATTCAAAGAGAGACTATTTTGGACCAAAGAACTGGTCGTAAAGCAGTTGAACTTGAAGCCGACTTTGACAGTCAAGTAAGTGTATCAATTTTACTATGATTGACAGGAAAAACAAATCTGATAGTGGGGAGAAGAAGACACGAAAAAAAAATTAATTTATTTATAATTCCAAGATGGTGAACATGAAAAATATTTTAGAGATCATTTGAATCGTTTATCTTGATTTTTTTCCATGCCAGTTGACTAACACGTTGACGTCATTAGTCAAATTGTCAAGAAAATTGTTTGCACTGTCTTTTAATATTATTAATTTTATTCTTCATCGAACGCAAATCGCAAATTTATCTCATAACTCTTGAATGTTCTGAATTCGTGAAGATTATCGCATAAATAGATTTTACATCCACTAAAGTCCCGAATGGTCTTAATTGCAACAAATATATCCTAAGCACTTGAATCTCTTGGGTACCATTTTACACTTTTATCACCTTTAGCTCAAATGACTATAAATCTAAATTTATAAATTGTTATGACTCATAAAACTGATCATGTCTTGTCTTTCTTTTCGTCTATTTTCTCAATTTTGTTTTTATAGGTTCAAAGAACATTGAATCGTATTAATGCATCAAAGAAGCTTTTAAGTAACATTGAAGTAGAAAATGGATATGACAATGAACTCGCTTCATCAAGTATCATCAAGAAGCGTGTCGTAAAGGTAAGGCTATCATGCTTATTGCTTTTTGTATAATTTTAAATCAACCTGTGACTTAAAATTCTTGGATCTGGTCCAAAAGACCGCGTATTTGTTTGCTTTAAACAATTAATCAAAAAAAAAAAATAACTCCTTACAGGTCACCACTGACATCTCAAGCTCATCTAACACTGCCTCTCAAGCAAACGATACAGTCTCCAGATGGACAAAGGTTGGAGGTGCCAATGATTCTGAATCATTTGCTGTAGCACGTGCACGTCATACTGCAAATCGCCTAGTCGACCTCGAGAATGATATGGCAGAAAGAAGTGAAAGACAATATGCACGTGAACAACGCGCTGCCAATGTAAAGAAACTCTTAGCCGAAACTAGTGATTTCTCAGATGATGCTTCTTTCGGAAATGTCGCATCATATAAAGTTGTTAAATCATCTCAAAAGCGAATCACAACTTATTAAGCAAATTGCAGTTCTATTGTTAAAAAAAATAGCTTTTTCTGTAAGGAAAGGCACGTTCGTTTTTGATCTGTTTTTGCAACAAAAAAAATTTTTATGATGACTATATATGTGACATTTCTCTGTTGTTTTTGATGAACAATTTAATTTTTAAGTTTCACAAAACAATCAACAACATCAAATTTTTTTCTCTCTCAAATACAAGCATAAAATTTAAATACATTTAAATTGAATATGAAAGAAAATAAGAAGCTTTTGTTAATTGTAAAACAATATTTTCACTTTATTGAATTCACAAAACACACATTTTTATATTACCTAGATAATTTCTTTCACTCTCTATCGTACATAAATGCATTATAACGACATTTATTATAAAAGAATATGAAAAATATCATTCAATAAATTTTTTTCCTCACTAAACCTCATGACTAAGAATTTCTTTTGACTACTTATCAGATTTGTGTGTGAACTATGAACCTTATCGGTAGGCTTACCATCTAATTTTCATGAAAATACAGGACTTTTGGTAAATTTTTTCGAAAAATACAGGACATAGAGTAAAATTCGAAAATTAACGGAAATTTTCGTGAAAAAATTACAGGACCTGGAACAAAGTTTTCAAATTTATACAGGACAGGGTTTTGAAATACAGCACTGTCCGTTGTAAAACTACGCAGATGGTCACCCTACTTATCGGTTCTATTATTTGTTATCATCCTCAGTTGTGTGTGAGAATTCAATGAGGAAACATCAAAGAGACTGAAAAAAAAGATGCATAAAATATTCTTCTTGATTTTTTGGACGCTGTTGGTTGGAATTTCTGCAAAGGATGAGACGGTTTTTGGTGGGTATTTGTGAACATGTGGATTTTGTGTATGGAATATTGCAATGTCATCTCAAAAATTACTATCCACAATTTCAATCGTCAAATCTTGTTCCTTCAAGTAAATACTCAAATCCTCAATCATTCAACCTTTCAGATCAACTGACGGTTGAACAAAACCTTGAACTGCCAGAAATCACCAATACAATTGAATCAGATCCAATGACAAAGAAAGTGTACGACATAATTGAACATTTCAAAGATGATAATCCTGTGGGCCTGCCTGCATTGGAAATTCCTGACCCAGTTTCCATTCCCGATGTACAACAAACCCTCAATATTGGAAAGCTATCAATGACGAAAGTGAAAGCGCATGGAATCTCCAAATTTCGCGTGCAAAATGTGACAGTTGAGGTTGACAAAAGAATGGAAGCAACTTGTGGATTGCTGTTTGAGACACTCAGATTGGAGGGAAATTACTCGCTGAGCTCATTTTTGGCAAGATCAAATGGTGTGAAATTAATCGCGTAGACGAAAATGATGATGTTAGACATTAATTCAATTTGTGAATATATATTTTTTTAGGTCCATTCCATATAACAATTTTGAATGTAATCGTGACAGCAAATGCCTCACTTAAAACGGAACGTGATGGCAAAATTAAAACAAATGAAATTGATACTGACATTCAGTTGTCAAGAATGAATGTTAGTTTTTCGAATTTGGGATTTTTTGCCTCAATTTTTCAAAGTTTTGCTAATTCAGCAGGAAATATGGTACGATGGATGAAATTGAATTTGGTGTTAATTTCATTTTAATTATAAAACTTTTTCATTATAGCTTTTTGAGAATGTTAAGCCTTACATATTAAAGGATGCAAAGGCGAAGATAAGGAAAGAAATGGATGATAATATCGATAAAATGCTTGGAGAATTTGGACTCATTCCAAATTCAATTAGTCCTGTCGACTACATTATTGCAGAAGCACGAAAAAAAGTTCGAGAATTGTAATTCAAATTTTATTTAAATTTTATTCTTTTCTCACGAAACAAAAATGAAATATTGAAAATTATGATAATTCAATCTCATTTAAGGTACGATCCACTCGAAATTAATGAGTATGAAAATAATGGCATCATTGGAATAAGAATATTTAATACTTTAATTAGCGGAATATCATCATTTTATCGAGTCGGCGATTTAACGTTAAAGATGATTGACAACAATTTAATTATAAGTATGACTTTATTGTGTTGGAACTGGATGTATGTGGATTGATTTATATAGTCCTTCTCTAAACTCATGAATCTAGACCCTACATTAAGATTTATTGCAATCTATACCTTAATTACAAGTAAGCCACAACCTTTAACATCAATGTCCCCCCAGAGATGATCCTTAATCAGCCAAACATTTTTCATTATAAACCAAAAAGTTTGTAAGACACTGATTCATTCGTTTGCTGTTGTTTTTCCATTAAAAGTTAAGCATTTAATCACATCCACATACCTCAACAACAAAAGTTAATCCTGTAATAGCATAAAATGTATTACAAACTTTATTTTAGATCTCGAAATCGGAACACAAGAAATCCACGGAAAAACAACGTGGGAAGCATCGTTCGCGAAAGGCATGATAACAAGATCTGGAAATGTTCAATTTTCCGTTCAGTACATTAAAGTTTTCGTTTCACTGATTCAACCAATTAATCTTCAGAAGCGAGTCAATATGAACGATTTGCAATTGGATCTAGGAAATATTCAGGTCATGTAAGTAAAAGATACGAGGAAATTGAAAATGATTTAAAGTATAATTGAATAAGTTGTGACTGAGCATTTAATTTTGAACATCACAAAGAGAAAGAAGGAAGTGAGATGAAGAGAATTTTCAATAATTATAATCAATCGATAAAAATACGTTAAGTGCAATTATGCAGTTTGGATAATTTCAATCACATTTATTCCTCGCTCAGGATATAAACGATTCTTGAACGAATAATTGATGATTGGATTATGACGTAATTGGAGTATGACATAAGGATGTATTATTTTATTCAGGTCATATGATTTATTGTTGTGATGAGGAAGACAGTTTTATTTTAAAATCTATATGATTCATGCAGTAGAATATTTGAGATTTATTTCAGTTCATTGAGTGCGGATGTAATCAAATTCCGTTCTATTGATTTTTGTTGAGCTTGGCAAATCGAACTCTGTTCAATTGAATTTGGATATGTTTGCTGAACTTAGAACATTTCGTAGATTCCAGGCAGTTTCGCTTGAGTAAGCTGAGTCAAAAAAATTTCATTATTATTATGTTAGGATAAATCAGGATAGTTCAAGGTTCAATCAAACATTTAGGAAGAATCCAGACGTATAAAAATTTTCAAGCATTTCTGCAAAATCCAGTACACAGAGATGCCAATTCATCTCAATATTCTACAGCAAACAGCTTATATCCAATAAATCATTTGAAATATCAAACCTTTATGTATCCACATCTAATTTCCCTAAAAACATTCAGCCTTAAATATCAAAAAATAATTCAATATAAATCAAGTCAATCTCATTCATCACCAAATAAATTTATTTTTTTTTTTGCACTCTTTAGGAGCAGTGGATTGGGAACATTCGATTATGCAATTGAGCTTTTCATCAATGTCTTGCCAAATTTATTGCGATATCAAATAATGGATGCAATAGAGAAGCCAATTATAAATAAAATTCAAGAATATGCCAATAGGATTGATGTTGAATTATTAGTTAAGGATTTACTGCAACAATATCGAAATAACCAGACACTAAGTCTCAATCTTAATCGTTTCGAGCTGTAAAAGTGTAAATTTGTTGTCTTTTTATAGAACTCAATGAAGGAATGTTGATGAATTATCGAAATGTGTTACGTGCGATCGTGATTTTACAGAATTTGTGGAAAGGTGTGCAAATGATGGACGTAATACATTTCGAGCAATAATAAAGGTTATTAGACTGGTGCTATAACTCATTAAGAATTTATAGTAATAAAATGAAATACCTCGGAAAAAATAAAAAGTCATGAAACTATCAAAGCAAAGCTTCTTATATGTTTTTAGACATTTTTTTCTTCTAGGTGAAACTTTTCTTGGCTCAGATTGAGAGACACCTGTCTGGTTTGTTACCTGTCTTGATGATGTTAATTTTTCTTCTTCTCAATTTATTTTTTGGGAGAGATTCGTTTGGTTATGGTGTCTTACATTGCCAGTGGAGGAGATATACTCAATTTTTTATATAAAAATACTGTGACCGAAGTAGAAGGTACTAAGATTCAAATTTTTGATGGACGGATGTAGGAAGGATCTTGAAATATTTGTTGACAATCACTTTTAACTTTCTTTCATAAGGTTGACCCTGAATCTATCTGCTTCCTCTCGACGAACTTTCATAATGAATTTCCAGCATCAATTGCATAAAAGATGACTACCCAAAAAGGAACAAGATTTTTGGATCCGAAATAAATTGCTTGCTTAATTATCAAGTTCATCACAGCTTATGGGAATTATACAAGTTTTAAGACCATTCCTTAATTACTAATCGAACCAATGTACGCGCCTTGAGTGAAATTGAGTAGAATAAAGAAGAATAAATCTAGTTAAGTTGCACACGATGCAAATGTCTTTATAATTTATTTGTTGAAGTAAATATTATATAATGTATAATATAACATGTAGATAGATATTTTTATATAAAATGTTGTTTCGTTGAACATATTCGTGATGATGACACAATTTCGAGCATTTTTTAAAATTTGTTTAATACCTTAAATATAATAGACATTAAAAATAAAGACTTAATTTTGTTAATTTGTTGAAACTCATTAAATTTTAGATGTTATAGTGATTAATAGATAAAACAGGACATAGCGTATTTAGTAATTAGGCTAAGCGAGTTCGTTTTTTTAGAGATTTTTCATTCGGGTAATTGCAAAAGCAAAGCGATCGAGTGGGTCATTTGCTTCTATTTTACAAGATGCTAGCATACTTCCTGTTTGTGTAGCTCTTTGTATGATAATTGTAGCTGTTGATTTGGTTGGTGATGGTAATTTTCAGTCTCTGGTCACGTGTTGAAGAACGATTGGCTGACTCATAAGCCTCATAGGATGATGAATGTGGTTTACTAGTTGTTAATTAAAGATTCAGTAGACATTTAATTAAATTTCACGAAGATAATGCGCACTTACTCTTTAACAGTCCTTAAAACTCTTTCAGCCCATGTTTGGGGCTTTGGAATTTCTGACTTGATGCCACGATCTTTCTTGTCTAAGTAATCAATAATGTCATCATAATAGTTGAGTCTATAGTCGTACATATAGTCGTACTGAAGGAAGCGTGGTCTTTTAAAAAAGTTTTGATTCAAATTAATTTACACAGTTGTTGAAGGAATAAGAAGTTCACATACCTGACCCAATGCTTATATAATTGTGTTTTTTTCGAATCAGCTTTATTAGCTTTTGCAGCTTTTTTAAATCCTTCCATGTTTAGCACCTAATAATGAAGAATTTATTCCTTATTATTTTTCAATAAATCAACTATAGCGATGACACTTGTCAGTCATTTAAGAATTTTCAAGTCTATTTATGTCCTTTGCATTATATAACACTTAATTATATCATATATTTGAAAAGATCCTTATCACTCGATCATAAAATTATTAAATTATTGAAATCCTAATAATCAGTTCAATTATCAACAAAGGAACATCAACAAGTCATGGAAATTAAGTGTTACAGATGTTCTATTTAGCTATGCTCACAAAAAAATTATTCAAAAAAAAAATAAATTAAATTATTTGGTACCTTCCTTTGAAAATCTCGTTGTTAATTCTATCGACGTTACTATAAGACTAATTTTCTTCGTTAAACAATCGAGCTGATTGAGAAGAAAAATAAGAAAAAGAAAAATTCAAAAGAAAATTTACAAACACACTTGCTGTGTCAAGAAGACAATAGGTAAGCACATTTTTTGTGTGCTGGGGATACTTTACTTAATGAGCGATTAGTCTAGGGACATTTGGCGATGTTACAATAATTAAAAGAAGAATTCGTAATGCATGTTTACGAAATTATAAATAATTTTATACGATGGATCTGACAATGGCTCACAACACTTTCACTTGTCCATATGATTACTCAAAAAATTGCTTCTTCGATCAATGAATTGCATTTGTTACTTAATAGCGTCTCAATTTTCATCTGTGTGAGTTTCATTTCTATTTCTCATTTGATTCTGCAACTTGCACTGAAAATCAATGACTTGACCTAAAAATAATCTCAATTCACACCTATCTCATCGTACTCATTTCGATTTTAAAATAATCACTTAGTATATAATGCAAAATAAATGTCTTTTCTTCTTCAAAAATGCTTGCTAATTTGTCAAAATATTTTTTTTTCTGTCACATACACAAGATGTATGGGTTGTAGGTACATAGCGCATGGGGACGATTGATAATTTGTGTATGAAATAGACACAAATGTAATGCCAATTAAATATAAATTTATACAATACAAAATTTTGAAGGAAAACTCTAGAGGAACATGTGTAGTATGTGCTTGTTCTACTAATTTACATTCCTTAAAAACTTTGAACAATGGAATAATAAGAAGCTATACAAATAAATTTAATCCTTCTTATTATTCAATGAGTCATCTGACTAATGCTCACAGCTGATCTAAATTAACGTTCTATTCATTCATAATAAAATATGTAAATGTCAATTGGATTATGATTTCACAATTACATTCAGGATAATTCAGGAACTCTTTAACGTTGCGTAAAATTTCATAAATTATTCATAAGAGACGCTAATATTCCATTTAGGTGAATATATAAAACTTATTATTATTATTAAGGTTACTGCTACAAAGGAATTAACTTATAAAGAAAAGAAAATGCTAAATCACGTTGTTAATTTTTTACTATCTCTTTATTCTATTTTTATTGATTAATTCAGCTTACCAGTGGTAGTCTAATGAAGTCTTATCCGTATAGTATTTTCATGTTTCCTATTTTTAGATGCTTAATTAATAATTATACATTAGGGGTCGTTCACTTATGACGTCCATCAAAAAACCTGATTTTTAGACCCCCCTCCCCCCTCTATCACAAAAATTCTATAGAAAAAAATTCATTTGTTTGAACTGTCACAAAATCCTAGACCCCCCTCCCCCTCCCCCCCCCCCCCCCCCCCCTAAATGTCGGACGTCATAAGTGAACGGCCCCTTAGTGATTTCATTATTTGGTTAAGAAACTTACGTTTTTGTTTGGAAACGTGTCCGCGCTATAAAAACGTAAAATATTTACTTATTTTTATGCTGGATTGCGGACGCTCTAGTATTTGTCTTCCTTAAGGCTATGCTTTGGGAAAGCAAACATTGATCTTAATTGAAAATATATTTTTATGTGCTTTATATGTGACATTTAATTCAAATTCTTTTAATTCAACTTTCAGCTACTTATGGACCTCTGGTTATTAACTTCTACATCAGTTATTAATAAATACATGAACCCCACATTTTAAGATGACAGCAAAATCATTTTATCAAGTTTATAAGCGAGGAAACTCTTTTGTGCCTCATACTTGAATATTTTGCATACAAATTCGAAAAAGTGATTCTTTTGAGTCAAAACATTTCAAACTTGAGAAAAAGATTAATCATGTTGTAAAGTCATTATCTTACCTCCGGATTTATTCTATTTGCTGTTGTTTTTCAGAAAATAACAAGTTTGTTGGTTGCAAAAGAGGAGAATAACAATGTCAAAAAAGTTCCGAGTATTTGAACATTTCCTGAAATGATTGATAATCATGAAGAAGAGGAAGAAGACAAAGTCAGCAGTATTACATTTTGATATAATAACTTTATTTTGGTTATAAGAAAAATGGAAAAAGCAAACATACAATTTATATCTTATTTATGTCATACATTTTATATTTAATCATCAAAATAAATCAAAATGTTGATTCCGACTAAAATAAATGTCTCGAAAAATTTATTTGCTTTTTTTTTCATCTTCAAACTTATAAATTCTTATCACAAACAAATCAAGGAAAAATATCAAAAATAAAAATTTTGAACCTCATTTTTACATCAAATCCGATTTAAATTATTACACTTTAAAAATCAAAGTTCGGATACACGACAATATATTTAATGTAAGTTACGTTAATTCATCATTCTTTTGTCTTCAAGGCTTAGACACTTAACATTAACTTCATTTTCTAAAGGAAAATTAATAAAATTATATTTACAAATATTTTCTTACGTTTCAAAAGTCTTAACTCGATCAGCACAAAATGGACATGAATTTCATACGTGCAGCAAGTCTTTGATTTAAATTTTCTGCAGCATATTCTATTTAAATAGTAATTAGCTATGGAAATGATAGATTTAGAGAGCTTTTGTAGTGGAATAGTTGGTTAATCTTAAGAGCTTATTGCTGTGAGTTCGATATCCAAAAAGTTTTACTTCCATCTATTTCTTAAAAAGGTTTGTGGTAACATAAAGAAAAGTTTTTCGATGTCTAATTTACCAGGATTATTAACGCTAGTCCTTTTGATAACCTTCAAAGGATGTTAAATACATTCATTGATTATGAATAAAAAGATTTATCTATAGAAATAAATTTCTGTGCCTGTTTAGAGTTTGATGATGATAAAAATCCTTTTAAATCTTACGGAATTTTTCAAGCTCTGTTAAGCTTTTGCCCTTCTTTTATGCTTCTTCAATTGTTCAGATATTGAGAATAAGCCTTAATAAAAGGCAGGACTATTATAACAAAGCATAAAATAGTTCAACTAGATCAATTGACCAGCAATCAATGAACCATTGAGTTATCCTTTCAAATGGATGTACAAAGCTCTTAGTAGTTTAAATCCTAGCAACTCTCAAATCGCCATTTATCTTAACGAAATTGATCTCAAGTTTTTCTTACAATGACAAACTTACAAATTTACCACAAACGAAGAAATCGTGACTCAAGCAGTAAACAACCAACTGGAAAATATGTGCAGAAACGTGATCAAAACTTGCCTTTTCTTTAATATGACTGACATTTCATTTTCATTATGCTGTTATGCGGACAGATAATTTACTTAGTAAAACATAACTGTTCCTAGTTAAAGTAAATTGAATTAAAACTTCTCCTAACAAGCGTCTAAGTCTTGATTGTAAATCAATAAAAATTAATGTCCTTTTATCTTCTTTTTGTATCTCTTGTATATTCTAAATAATCGAATTATGTAGCTTAATAATATCTAATCTTTTTATAATTATTTTTATTTCATTATGTCACTGGGAATAATAGGTGGCTTTTTCAATTATAAATCATACACTTGTGCATAATCAGATTTCATGTATGTATGTATGTATGTAGGTAATTTAATAAGTTGAAGAGCATAGGATAGTAGTTAATGTTTAATTGGATGATTTTTTCTAGATTTAACAAAACTATTCACACGATTCAGGATATTTTTATATGTAAGCAGGCAAAATGTTGACTGACAGATCGATAATTTATATAGTGAGATGGTAAAAAGAAGTAATGTAGGTCAATCAATCAAATTTCAAAGCTTGAGAACCATGAAATAGATATGATGATGAGTTTCACCTTAGAAATATAATGACTACGTCATTGTTGACATTTTCGTTTCATCATATCATTACAAATTTTTGCATTATAGCGTGACAATAAGCTCCAAACTAACAGAGAGAGTTCCTTTCATGTGAGAATGGGTTGAATTTGGAACTGAAAAAGGTATAAAGATAATAACATAACATTCGTGTGAATAGTTAACTTAATAGGAATAAAATATCACGTAAAAACTGTAGACAGCGAAAATCAAGTTTTAAGGAGCTAAGGGAATCGATATGTGTCTTAATAAATTTTCATTCTAATTTATGATTTTTGGAAATTTTTTCAATTTTTTATAACTTCAAATAGAGCAAATTTTGTTAAAGTTTGATTTTGCATTAAGGAACAAGTGAATTTATTAATAGTTTAATAGAAATTTGAAAATAACTTTTAGGAACCAACAGGAGTTGCATTTTTTGAGGTTAAAATAATTTAATTTGAGTCAGAGGAGATTTTAGGAAACAATTCACACCTCTGTAGCCGCAAAATAGACCTTTGCGGCATCTGTCACTTAGATTCTAGAGTTTAAGGACAAAAAAAAAAATTCTTACACCTCCTTGTTAAAGCTCTGCAAGAAACTATTTTGTGAAAATTTGATAAGGATAGTCTCTTATGTCAACAAGAACACAAAAAATCTCCAAGCTGTTCTGTATCCTTTTTTTAAATTTATTCTTTTTGTGATGAACATCCATTAATTCCACAAAATTAGTCATGATTTAGGTCAAGCGATACATAAACTCTAGATTGGCATGCTCAACTTCACATCCGCATTAAAATATCATAAATTTATATAAGTTATTACATTAAATTGTACTTTATCATAGGCGATTGCATGCTATCGCTAT